GGCACCGGCGACGGCGGAAGCCGGCGACAAAATCCAGGTGATAGAAGAGGAGCCGCCGGAGGAGGCCAAGGGGCCGCCCGAGCCGTATGGCAGCGGCTGCCTCGAGGACGGGCAGTGCCCGGGCCTGGGCAGCCTGGGCACCGAACTGATGGACAAGATAACCGGGGGGTTGGAGGAAAGGATGTATGGGCGCTTGAAAAAACCGAGAGAGAGTCCAGGGTGCGTCGTGGCTGTGGCGGATGCCTCCCCTGACCACAGCCCCGAGTAGAGGAGCAGGGGGACGCCGTCAACTTCAGGGTGAGGTAGCCACCGCTCTCTCCCCAGTTCCTCCCCGGTGCCGGCATGGGATTTGCCAGCCGGCCGGGGCAACGGGGCGCACGCCAGGGCTGCACTATCTCAGAGGACGGTGGCCCTGCTGGGGCAGGTACCACGCAAGGGACGTCGCTGCATCCTAGGGGAGCTGCCTGTCTCTAGCCGGACTCGGAGTCCGCAGAGGGTCGAGGGAAACTGGTCAAGGCTGCGTTTGTGCGACGGGCAGCAGCGGGCCCCTTCGGCTTGGCCTTCCGCTTGCGAGGGGCCGGGGAGGGTGGGATCTTGCTCCCGGCAGCCTCTGCTCCCTTCTCGCCGGTGCCCGAGAGGGGTTAGGGGTCCTGAGATGAGCCAGTTCTCCCTTCCCCGAGGTGGGTTTGCCAAAGCAGGCGCTTCTATTGCACAGCCCGGACGTTACGTTCCCGAGGGGCTTTTTCTCGCTAATAACAGGAGACCCTGGAACCTAGCAGTGGCCTGACTTTTACCTCACGACGTTCAAAAGAGCTGGTTGTAGCAGATAACTATAAACGACTCCTTCACCTTTGCACACTCACACTCTCTCTCTGGTTTTTTTTCTTTTTGCAAGCAATAACCTTATCCTTTCCTCCTCCTCCCTCCGTCTGTCGCTGGGCGTCCTCTTGGCGGGAGGCAGAAACAACCTCGCCTCCCAGATGGGACAGAAAAGCCTGCCCGCTTGGCCCCGGATCTCTCACCCAAGTTTCTTCCCAATGAACTTTCGTTGGCGTGGAACCAGCTCCAGAAATGCTATTTTATTAAGCCGGTGAGCTGCCTGGGTGGATGGAATTGCCATGGGTTACTGCAGCGGTTTGGAGCGGGTTGTGCCGTTTTCGGGTACGTGCTTGGCAAAGCGAGGCAGGCGGGTTGCAGTAGAGGCAGCACGCCCGGCTTCTTGTCCTCCGATAGCTCAGGCCTCTGTCTTTCCTCGCGCCGCTGCGTTACTCCTCCGTCGCCGATTCTCTCATTATCTTCAACTTTTCCCGAAATTGTACGCTGTTCCGCGCCCCTGCTCTGGCTTTCCTTCCGACGCCAGCATCCCTTGCGCAGAGATACCAAACAGCTTGATCGGAAAAGGGGGGTGTCGGCGCTGCTACTTGAACGCTCCCAAGCTTCTAGCCCTCATGAGAACTGGGCAGCGGAATGAGAAATGCCCTGGTCTTAGCGTCAGCGGATGACGCAGGGGTGACTGATGTCTGTGTGTGTGTCCCCCACTCCCCAATGTCGTTGGACTGCTAGTCTCAGAAGCCAGGAAGTCTAGAGCCATCAGAAAGCCGTCCATTTTTCCTCTCTAGGCTGAGATAGGAGAGCAGCGAGTTCGGGGGCAAGGCCCAGCGGAAGAAAAAGAGGGAGATCAGCCATAGTCCTCACGCACTCGGCTACAAAAAACGTGCCTCTTCCGATACGTTATTCCTTACTCTGCCCTGTTCTCCAAATCGATGCAAAGCGTTCTCTTTTTAATTTTTTTTAAAAAATATCCACATTTGTGGTTGAAGATAAATAATAATAATATACAGGTGAAACTGGAAAAATTAGGATATCATGGGAAAGTTCCTTTATTTCACTAATTCAACTTCAAAGGTGAAACTAATTAATCTCAGAAAATTAGAATATTCAATGAAATCAGCAAAACAAGGATTGCAGATAGAGCAATATTGGACCTCTGAGAAGTAGAAGCGTATCTCGCTTTGCATGAGTTTCACCTTTTAAGTTGAATTACTGAAATAAACGAACTTTCCCACGATAGTCTAATTTTTCGAGTTTCACCTACACAAGCAGGCGGTTTTATTGCGCCTTTAATTTTTAAGCAGATTATAAGGTGGCGGCAGCAAGCTTTATTTTTCTTTTAACGTGTCGTTGCTACTACGCGGCTACAAGCACATTGCTTGGGGAGGGGGCAAACTGACCCATTCACCCCCCCAACACCGCCATGCAGGGAATGTGTGCCAAATCTTTTACGTTTCCTAACTTTTTCCTCTCCGTGCTTCAATTCTTTTGCATGTCAACAGAGGGGGGGGGGGCTCGGGGAGGAGTGGGGTGTGTGTGTGCGCCTGGTTAGATGTGTGGGTCCTGCCCTCCAGTTTCATTTTTTTTTTTCAAAATCAACGTCCAAAGCACTACTTGAAGGGGTGGGGAATTGGGGGGGGGGCGGCCGGAAGAGAAACTTAATTTTGTAAAAGCGAAAAACGACTGCTGCCAGAGGCGTGGCAGGGCGATCTTTTCTCCCCCCCCTTCTTCTTTTGGAGATGTGAGAATATATATATATATATACACATATATTTATTTATTTATTAACAAGTTCTGGCTTGTTTTGCCACCTTGTTCTTGTCATTGTCGAAACCGTCATAATCGTCTAGCTTGGGAGTCCTGCCTTGCAAGGGGGGTTGAACTAGAAGACCCTTCTCTATGTGGGTTGGAGGGGGGGGGTCTCTTCCAACTCTGGCCATCCTACGATCACAATTTGTTTTTGTTTTTTGTCGGCGGGCGGGGGGGGGGCGATGCAAAAGCCTGTTTTCCCCCTCCCCGCTTAGTAAAAGCAGCAGACCAAACCACGAACCTCCTTTTTCCCTGCCTTTTTCAATGGAGGGGGAGAGCAAAAAATGAAAATACAAGACTTTATTAAATAAACAATGTGCCAACGTTTTCCAATGGGTGTGTGTGGTCTTCTTTCCGCCTTAAGTCGTGAACACTGTCAGCCCCAGAGGTTGTATATAGGGCCTGGCGTTATAACTCCCTAGTGTGGCTTTTTCCAACCAGGTGTCCTCTAGATCAGGGGTAGGTAACCTAAGGCCCGGGGGCCAGATCCGGCCCAATTGCCTTCTAAATCCGGCCTGCGGACGGTCTGGGAATCAGCGTGTTTTTACATGAGTAGAATGTGCCCTTTTATTTCAAATGCATCTCTGGGTTATTTGTGGGGCATAGGAATTCATTCGTTTTTCTTCAAAATATAGTCCGGCCCCCCACAAGGTCAAGGGACAGTGGACCGGCCCCCAAATAACCCAGAGATGCATTTTAAATAAAAGCACACATTCTACTAATGCAAAAACACCAGGCAGGCCCCACAAATAACCCAGAGATGCAGCTACGTCGAGACCACCGCAGTGGCGACCGTGGGAACTGGGAGGTCCACCAGCCCAGACAGCTCTGAACTGCAGCCGCAACGGAAAAAGGCAAACGATCCGGCGTGCTGCGGCCTTCTGCGTCAGACCGAGACCTGGGTTCGAATCCCCGCTCGACCAAGTAACTCGCCTGGTGACCTTGCTGCGCCTCAAGCCTAATTTTCAGGGTTGAAAGGAAGGTCGGCAGTTCGAATCTCCGCGACGGGGTGAGCTCCCGTTGCCCGGTCCCTGCTCCTGTCAAGCTAGCAGTTCGAAAGCATGTCAAAGTGCAAGTAGATAAGTAGGTACTGCTCCGGCGGGAAGGTAAACGGCGTTTCCGTGCGCTGCTCTGGTTTGCCAGAAGCGGCTCAGTCCTGCTGGCCACATGACCCGGAAGCTGTACGCCGGCTCCCTCGGCCAGTAAAGCGAGATGAGCGCTGCAAGCCCAGAGTCGGCCACGACTGGACCTAATGGTCAGGGGTCCCTTTACCTTTTAAAGGAGGAGAAGCATGTACTCCTGGGAGGGGAAAATTGGGCTATATGTGCAAGAAATGGTGACAAACGTGGAAGCGTCAGGGGTCCAGTTGGAGGCAGGAATTTTACCTCCAAATCAGAGAACCACCCCACCTTCTCCCATGGAGAGGGACCTAAGTGTGTTGACTGGGGCTCCCTTAATGGAAAAAGCTCTCGCCTCCTTCCCTCTCTGTATCTCATAGAGTGTAAGGTGTGTCCCCCAAAGTCCGAGGGGGTCTTTGCCGCACCCCAGAACTGCAACCACCCAAACACTCCTATTATGGAAGACTTGGGCACCTCCACGTGCCAATACAGTGGTACCTCTGGTTGCGTACTTAATTCGTTCCGGAGGTCCGTTCTTAACCTGAAACGGTTCTTAACCTGAAGCACTACTTTAGCTAATGGGGCCTCCTGCTGCCGCCGCGCCGCCGGAGCACAATTTCTGTTCCCATCCTGAAGCAAAGTTCTTAATCCGAGGCAATATTTCTGGGTTACTATAGTCTGTAACCTGAAGCGTATGTAATCCGAGGTACCACTGTATCTAGCTCAATGTTTTTTTTCCTCCCAGGTTGGGCTAAATCAGCACCACGCCCCCCCCCCCAAAAAAACAGGCTCAGAAACCCATGGCTCCATTTTGACTTTTATTTTCTTTAAAAAAAAGAAAAAAAGGAAAGAAAGAAAAAAAAGCACTCACTTCCCTTTGCTCCAGCCCTTATAAACAGCATGCAGATTTTTTTTATTTTCGTTTTAATAGTGTGGTGATTTTCTGTTGACGTTTTAAATACCGGGTTTTCCCCTCCCCATGACGCCCCCTCCCCACTTTCTGAACCTCTCTTCTCTCCCCCCCCCCTCAATTTTTGCAGGCCGCGGCGTTCCCCTCCCCAGCTCTTCTCATTTATTTCAGATACGGTCACAAATGTGCAAGGAAGTTCTCTAAAGATAACTGCAAATATAAACCGCCCTCCCTCCCCCCCCCAAAAAAAGAGGGAGGGGGGAAGAGAGGGAGGAGGGGGCCGAAAAAAGAAAGAAAGAAAAAGAAGGGGTAGGGGAAGGAAAAAAATATAATATATAATATATATATTATATAACAGTAGTCTACTACATAAAGTGCGTGTCGATGGCTTTCAAAAATTCTAACACGAGGAGGAGTGGCGGGAGGCGAGATGTGCCAAGTCCTGGAGGGAACTCGCCCCCCCATCTCAAAAAGCCCCCCTCCCCACCAACCAGGAGCAGCCCCCTCCCACTTCAAACCCACCCCCCCCAACAAGTCCTGGGAATCCGGACGGCCACACAAGACAGGATTTCGGGAGGTGAAGCACAGCCAGGCTTTTTCTTCTTCTCAGTCTAAAAAAAGCAGGATTTGCTGAATCGGCGTCGGGTGTCTTCTTCTTCTGCCCCCCTCCCCAAATAAAGAAGATTGCGTCTTTTATTTTCTTTACAAAAAGGTGTTTCTCTTCCTGTTTCTTGGCTCTCTCTCTCTTGGATTGCAAGCGGGGGTCTACGGGGGTCGGCTACCAGGGATGCCGGCCTGGGGGGCGGGCAAGGGAACGGCGGGGGGGGGGGGAGATGCACAGAGAGCCGAGGAGGGGATACGGCGGCCGCCAAGCGCAGTAATTCGGGGCTCTGGCTGCGAAGAGTTTTGAAAAAAGAAAAGAGGGGAGGGAGAGAGAGAGAGAGAGAGAAATCAAGATGTCAGAAAAAGTTCTGCATGCTGCTCTGTTGTGTCACCCATGTGCAAAAAAGAGTGCATAATTTAAAACTTTAAAAACCCCACTACAATTATTATTATTATTATTATTATTATTATTATTATTATTATTATTACTAACGACATCTGCATACAGCCATTCATTCAATAATAATAATAATAATTTATTATTTGTACCCCGCCCATCTGGCAGGGTTTCCCCAGCCACTCTGGGCGGCTTCCACAAAGACCAAAAACACACTAAGATGTCGCACGTTAAAAACTTCCCTGAACAGGGCTGCCTTCAGATGTCTTCTGAATGTCAGGTAGTTGTTTAGCTCTTTGACATCTGATGGGAGGGCGTTCCACAGGGCGGTGGGGGTGGAGATGCTCCTTCAGGGATACTGGGCTGTTTAGGGCTTTAAAGGTCAGCACCAGCACTTTGAATTGTGCTCGGAAACGTCCTGGGAGCCAATGTAGGTCTTTCAGGACCGGTGTTATGTGGTCTCGGCGGCCGCTCCCAGTCCCCAGTCCGGCTGCCGCATTCTGGATTAATTGCAGTTTCTGGGTCACCTTCAAAGGTAGCCCCACGTAGAGTGCATTGCAGTAGTCCAAGCGGGAGATAACCAGAGCATGCACCACTCTGGCAAGACAGTCTGCGGGCAGGGAGGGTCTCATCCTGCGTACCAGGTGGAGCAGGTAGACAGCCGCCCTGGATACAGAACTGACCTGCGCCTCCATGGACAGCTGTGAGTCCAAAATGACTCCCAGGCTGCGCACCTGGTTCTTCAGGGGGCACAGTGACCCCATTCAGGACCAGGAGTCCCCCACACCTGCCTGCCCCCGTCCCCCAGAAACAGTATTTCTGTCTTGTCAGGATTCAACCTCAATCCATTAGCCACCACCCATCCTCCAACAGCCTCCAGGCACTCACACAGGTTAACAACAGGTGACATTTTTTTTTTAAACAAGAGAGAGAGAGCCCCACGCTGGGGAAAAAAGATCCCTGCATTGCATTGGACTAAATGACCGCTATGGTCCCCTTCCAACCCCACAGTTCTCCGATTCTGAGAAAAATTGGCAACACTTAATTTAAGACATTCCATCTTTTAACAACAGGATAAAAGCAGTTCGGAGCTTGCGCAAGCTTTTAAAACGTCTGGGTTGGCCCGTCCAAGCAGAAATGTTTTTAGCAAGCACCGGAAAACAGTACGTGGTCTGATGTCTGGGGTCTTTCAAGGCAGAAGGCGAAAAGCCTTAGTGAGGCTTAGCAGGGGCAGCTGGCCAGGGCAGAGAGGAATCTTTTTAGCGTTTATCATGGCTTTCTGGGTCTGCAGAGGAGATCCACAGAAAGCACATCTTGCTAAGTTGTAGCAGGTCTACTGGGAGTAAGTTCAAAGCTACCTTGGGCAAGAAGTAAAAATAAAAACCGTGAGCCAGCAGCGCGACGGGTCTGCAAAGAAGCCAAACGCTTCCAAAGTCTTGGTTTCGCTTCGGCCCCCGAATTAAAGCAGAAAACCTGCGTCCAGTTCTGGGGCGAAGCAAAAGCGGCCGAAGGCAAACTGGAACACGGGTTGGGGTGGGCAGTTCATAGAAGGGGGGGTCGAGATGGAGAAAGGTTTAGCCTGGAGGGGAAGAAGAGATGGAAACACGACCGGCTGCTTCCAAAAAGCAAAAGATATTTTCTTCTTTTGCTGCTGCAAAGGACTTGATCGAATGAAGGGCCAGGAGGCTAGATTTCGGCTGAATTATTTGGGGGCTTGCCTGGCAAAGCGAAAGCTCGACAGCCACCATTTTGGGGGGGCAATGCGCCTCCAAATCCCTTTATCTTGGAGTTTTTTGGGGGGACACCCCCCTCCTGATACAGATTCAGTCTCGCTTGCATGAGATAACTCATTCCATCTTATTTTCTGAAGCTATTCGGAGACTTAGGAAGGAGGCAAAGGAAGAAGAACCGGAGAGGGAGGGGAGAGAATGGAGAAACCTGGTTGCGAGCCAAGGAGATAAAAGCTTTGGGGGGGGGGGGTTTGCAAGGAAGAGAAGGCGCCACCGGCTAAGTGCATTACTGCGGCGAGGCCAGGCGGGGGTGGGCAGATCACAGATGAATAATTTTCTCTTCTTTCTTCCTGGGCTGAGCTTATGAATCAAGAGAGCTGGGCGAAAACAGCCGGGGAGGGATTTTGTTATTATTATTATTTTGTTCGGGGTGGGGAGACAGAGGAGGAGGGATTCAGGGTTTTCTGCAGAGCTGGGAAAGGGAGGGATATACGTCAAGTCAGATGAAAGCCGGATGCACGAGCTGATCGCGTCTGCCCCCCTCCACGGTCCCTGCTCGCTTAAGCTCAGAGGCACAATACATGCATTAAAAAAATATATTACAAAAAACCCCGCCTTGGTTAGTACGTCAGAGTCGGAAGCTCCCTCTTAATTTTTTTTTCTTTGCGGGGGGGAATTAAAACATCCCAGAAAGGATGCTAGCGAGTCTAGGTGGTCCTGAATGCGTGCGGAACACCTTGTGGCAGTGAGTTCCTCTGGTTAACTTGATACTGCCCGGACACTGAGGTCCATCTCCCGAGGGCCTTCTGGCGGTTCCCTCACTATGAGAAGCCAAGTTACAGGGAACCAGGCAGAGGGCCTTCTTGGTGGTGGCGCCCGTCCTGTGGAACGCCCTCCCACCAGATGTCAAAGAGAAAAATAACTACCAAACTTTTAGAAGACATCTGAAGGCATGTTTAGGGAAGCTTTTAATGTTTAATAGGTTATTGTGTTTTAGTGTTCTGTTGGAAGCCGCCCAGAGTGGCTGGGGAGGGCGGGGTATAAATAAAATTTATTATTATTATTATTATTATTCCCGCTTTATACAATTCTACGAGTCAAATCAGCACTGCCTCAAGTGACTGGCAAGGGCCCTCCTGGAGACTGAAGCTGGGGCCTTCTGCATGCACAGCAAGAGCTCTAGCCACTGGGCGGCAATACCTTTCTGGACACTTTCTTCCCATCCCAAAGCGCCGAAGGAGAGAGGAAGGCGGAGAGGAAGACCTACAGACCTGCGGTGGGCGATGCTCCGGCCGTCACTGCTGCTTGCAGGTGGAGAGCTTCCGAATCTTGCTGCTGGTGGAAGACGAGGCTTTGCGCGAAGGGTTGGACGAGGCGCTGGCCCTCCGCTCGGCCTTCGTCTTCCCGCCGAGCTGGGCTGGCTCCGTCCCGTTCATGCAGACCGGCTTGGGGAGGCCCCGGCTGCAGCGGCTCTGCCCGTTCTGCCTCGCTTCCTCCTCAGGCACCTGTCCTGGAAGGCAAACGCACGGGAACACGGAAAAAAACACAAAGAAGAGGAGGTACAGGGGAGGTCTGTGCCACGGGGCATGTGCAGAGGGAAGACGAGAGGCTCTAAACCTCAAACGTGGGAACTTCCTCGGAAATGGTTTATAAGTGAACTGGAGAAAACGCTCAAAATAACTTTTAATTTAAAAAACAAACAAACCAGAAGTGTTTCTTTTAGGGAGAATTGGTATAGAGTAGGGTAAAGGCAAACTGGGCCCTCCAGATGTTTTGGGACTACAACTCCCATCGTCCTTTCGGTAACTCTAGCAGGCATAGGCAAACTTTGGCCCTTCCAGATGTTTTGGGACTACAACTCCCATCGTCCTTTCGGTAACTCTATACCAGGCATAGGCAAACTCGGCCCTCCAGATGTTTTGGGACTACCACTCCCACCATCCCTGACCACTGATCCTGTTAGCTATGGATGATGGGAGTTGTAGTCCCAAAACACCTGGAGGGCCCAGTTTGCCTATGCCTGCTATAGAGTTACCGAAAGATTGAAAGAAAGAAAAAGAAGTGTTTTATGTATGCCAACGGAAAGAAGATTCAGTACCAACCAGGGAGGAATGGCAGACTAAATTAATGGACCATGCCAAAAATTAAGGTATTAATAGGGAACCAAGAGGTGGGGGAACTTTATCAAAGACCAGGGGAAATTCGTGGCTGGTCTGAAATGTTACTGTTCATCAGCGGGATCAATTTAAACTGAACAATTAAAAATTAATGCTAAAAGGAGAACTAGGGAGGAATTAATAACTGGAGTAATGTAGGAGTTGCAGTCTTACATTAATTCGTTCCGGAGGTCCGTTCTTAACCTGAAACTGTTCTTAACCTGAAGCACCGCTTTAGCTAATGGGGCCTTCGGCTGCTGCCGCGCTGCCGGAGCACGATGTCTGTTCTCATTCTGAAGCAAAGTTCTTAACCTGAAGCACTATTTCTGGGTTAGCTGAGTCTGTGACCTGAAGCGTATGTAACCCGAGGTACCACTGTATATAAGAAACCATAAACGGAGTGCGAAGGGGGAGTCAAAACACACCTATTTGTTGGATTGTGTTTCTGTTAAAATATTTCCGAAACGTTTTGTTCTCAAACTTGGGTTTCCGGCTGGACTACGGCCCCTGGCCGCTGGTCCTACTAGCTGGGGACGATGGGAGTTGTAGTCCGACGACAGGCGGGGACCCAGGTTTGAGAAAACGCTTGATGCCTGAAGTTCACCGTCCTGTCTTCTCAGCGGCCGACCAGATGCCCCGGTGGACTTGCTGGATCAGGCCCTGTCCTTGCTGCAGTCAAACAGACCCCCCACCCGTGGCAGGTCCTGAGTGCGAATCTCCCCACTCGAGATCCCCAGCAATCTCCTGCAATAGGAGAACTGTGGTGAGCAGCTGTTGTAGACTTTTCCGCATCCCCCCCTTCCTAATTCTCTTTTAAAGTCTGCCTCTTACAGAAAGCCTTGACGTTTCTGAATTATTATTATTATTAATCTCTGGAGGTTTGTATCCTGCCTTGTTCCTCTCCCAAATGGGTTTCGAGGTAGCGTGAGCATTGCTCTGCCTCCAGTCTGGTCCCCAAGACGACCCTACAAAGTAGGTTTCGGCTGCGAGAGGCACAGTGAGCGGGAGGATTCGAACTCGTGTCTTCTCCCAGGCAAATCTGGGACGCCGCCAGCGCCGGCGCCACAGCTGGGTCTTCTCAACTACCGCTGTGATAGGAATTTTATGGTCTTAGATATATGGCAATGCTCATAAGTGTACCAACCAACCACATACATAGATCAGCACAGGAAGACCGACCTGGAACCATTTTTGATTCCCAAACTGACCAAATGTTTTCCATGCAAGGTCAAAGGAAAATGGAAAAGCCTCCCCATTGTCTTTTCCTTCACAAATCCTGTCTTAAGGGCACATTTAAGATATGAATAGGGTGTGAGCCTGTGACCTGGCTCAGGAACTAAGTATTTATCACTACAAAACACTGGCCAGGCTCCCCAGGAAATCCAATCAAGTAAGCATTAAACAGGTAACCTGGCAGACAAGAGGTAAACAAAGCACTCAGATTTCTGCTGTAGACCGCCCTTTCTGTAATGTAGGTATGATGTATCTGGGGGTGGTCTTGGACTCCAGGGAGGGAATTTAAAATGTCTGTATAAGGGCAGGCACACTTTTGTTCTGGGTTCCTCCTCCCTCCTGCGTGTGGTGAGTGAGGACCCTGTTGCAACAGATCAATAAAGATCAGGCTTATGCTTTGCTTCTCAATATTCTCTGCTTGGCCTCTGTTATCTTCTCCTACCAATAGGGAACCTATGTAAGGACTCTATATGGGCTCTTGGATACCCCATAAGGGAAAAGGGCAATTTTTTGTTTACAACACCGCCCGGCAACGCCATGCCAGGGGGGAAAAAACAAACCACGAAGAGTGCAAGCGATTTGCTTTCCTGCAAGCAAGCGTAAAAAAATATATAAATGAGGCAGAGCGACAATTGCTTAGCTCAGCTACGGGGGCGGGTGGGAGGGAAGGAGGACGTCAATCGTGCCTTCGGCTAACAATGCCCTCTGTGATCGCGTCTGCTGCTCTCGCACTCGCTCCCCCCGCCGCTGCCGGTGCCTCCCGGCAGATCCTGCCAAGGTAATTTTCACGCAGAGGAGCGGTGGCTTTTTCAAGCCGGATGACTCAGTCGGAGCCAGGAGAAGGGGCGACTGCAGATTGCTTTTCCGCCCAAGGACGCAGATTCCCGTCACAGCACCCACGGAGGCCCCCCGGGGAGACGTAAGTCGCCACCGTAAAGGACTTACGCACGACCCAAAGCGTGTTGTCCTTTCTCCCTGGGGAGCTCCAGGCCCCCCCCTCCAAAAAAACAACAACATGCCGTTGCCTAAGACCTTTGCAAAAGGGGTTGCTTCAAAGACCCCTTGCATGGATCCCCAGAGAGGGCCTTTTGCTCACGAGTAGGAGCCCGTTCATCCCCATTTATTCATCGCAATTTGATGTGCTGTATCTTTTTTTGCATGTGTCCTGGCCTTCGGCGGACAGTGGGGGGTTAACAGAAGTGTGGCACAATGGTTAGAGCGTTGGGCTATGAGCTGGCTGACCAGGGTTCAAAACCCCAATCCACCCTGAAGCTCGCTGGGTGACTTTTGGGGCGGCTGCCGTCTCTTAGCCTAAGCTACATCGCAGGGTTGCTGTGAGGATGGAACAGGGAGAAGCACCTTGAGCTCCATGGAAGGTAGAGGTGGAATGCAAATGTTAACAAATAAAAACAAAATAAAAACAATCTAGCAAAAAGACACCGGCTGCCCTTGAACCGAGTCAGCGGATCATTCTTATAAGAGCACCTCTTTCAGAAATCGGTGCCGGGGTTTTGGGTTTTCCTCTTCCCTCCCTGTCCCCTTTGCCTTGTGTGTCGTGGAGGGTTTTGGTTTCCCCCCTCCTTCTTCTAACGCAGTTGTCCTGTGGAGAGACCAACTGCCTCGGCTTTCTGCTCCAGAAGCCGTTTAGGCAGGGTGCACAAAAGGCAACTAACGAAGAAAGAAACAGAAACAAAGGGCCTCCCCTCCCTCCATTGCTGCATCTGCAGAACCTGACGACACCCTGCCTTTCTATTCATATAGGAAGATATCCACAAAAGGGTTTCTGGAGAGAGTGGCAAACCCCTTTGGGTTCTTAACCGTGGGGTTCCCAGAAATGGGAGGAGAGGGTGGGGTTTTTTTTGGGGGGGGAGCAGAAAAGAGAGGGGGGGCCTCTACTTTCCTAGCCAAGTAAAGAATAGCGTGTTGAGGATTTTATATCTATATATGCAAGTACACTCAGCCAAGCAACATCAATTTTTAAGCGTTTCGGCAGGGAAGGAGGGAGCAGAGGAAGGGGGGGAAATGCAAAGCGGCCACCCCCCCAAAGCACCTTCTTCTTCTGATCAATGGGAAGCTTAATGAGTTTCCCTCCCCGCAATGTAAGCCAGCTCCTGCCTCCGCAAGTGACTCACTCTCCTGGTTTTCTCTTCTCCCTGTGCTGTCACCTCTGCCTGCAGCTTAGCTGGTGTTCTCAAACGCTGCGGGAGTCGCCATCCCGAAAAAGGGTTTTTTTCTGGCGCTCTCTTAACACGGCACCCCAAACCCTACACAAAAAGGGGACCCCTCTGCTATGCCAAGTCTCTCTTTCTCTCCCCCCCCCCGGGGGCAGATGCAGAACCTGACGACACCCTGCATTTCTATTCATATAGGAAGATATCCACAAAAGGGTTTCTGGAGAGAGTGGCAAAACCGCCACTTTCACCCACAGGGGTCCTCCGTCGGTTGGGGCACAGCCCGAATCTGCAACCGTGCAGCGCCGTTCGGGCATGCCGCCTCGCAGCAGCTGCTTCAAGCAAACGCCCTAACTCCCAAGTTGCTAGACCTCATGACTTTGGAAAGCAGGACACCCCGAGGGGCCGGAAGGGAATCGATTCCCGTAGCTCGCGTAGCTGCGGAGATGGCAAGGGCTATTTCAATATTGCGGTACCCTGGCTCACGTGTTTATTTCTTAAAAGCAGTTCCACGGGCGACAGCGAGTGAGCCGGTGTCCCTAGCAACTGTTTTGCTCGACGGCTCTTCTGCCCAAGCAGGTATCTCGGGTGGGAAAAGCCAATGGCACGTGAGGTTAAAACCTCCGCCGATTCCATGTTAGTGCAGGGGCCGCGTAAGGTCAAGGAGTTTGTATTCTTCTCCTCCTCAACCCTCCGAACCCTGGCCGCGTGCTTTACATCTAATTTAAGGAATTCTGCCCAAGCGGGTGAAATCTTGGGGCTCTACCCTCGTGCCCCGCCAAGCTTTTATTTGTAGTGGGGTAGGAGAAGAAAATAGGGACGCGGGCGGCGCTGTGGGTTAAACCACAGAGCCTAGGACTTGCCGATCAGAAGGTCGGCGGTTTGAATTCCCGTGACGGGGTGAGCTCCCGTTGCTCGGTCCCTGCTCCTGTCAACCTAGCAGTTCGAAAGCACACCAGTGCAAGTAGATAAATAGGTACCGCTCTGGCGGGAAGGTAAACGGCGTTTTCGTGTGCTGCTCTGGTTCGCCAGAAGCGGCTCAGTCCTGCTGGCCACACGACCCGGAAGCTGTACGCCGGCTCCCTCGGCCAGTAAAGCGAGATGAGCGCCGCAACCCCAGAGTCGTCCACGACTGGACCTAATGGTCAGGGGTATCTTTACCCTTTAGGAGAAGAAATGTTTTTAGCGTTAAGGCTGGGAGTGCGTACCCAATTCTGACCGAACTTAGCCTCCTGGATGTATATTGTGCTTCTGACTGCAGGGGCAGAGAGCAGCTGTCCTGGCTACGGATTGTGCTCCTCGAATTTGTGCGGCCTTCTTTTAGAGCCATCCAAGGCGGGGGCCCATGGCTGCCCCCTGTGGCAGGGAGTTCCACAGCTGAACGCTTCAAATATCTTAAGGGCTGTCACACGGAAGAGGGAGCATGCTTGTTTTCTCCTGCTCTGGAAGGCAGGACTCGAATCCATGGCTTCAGAGTGACAAGAAAGGAGAGGTTGGGTGGCCATCTGCCATGGATGCTTTAGCCAAAATTCCTGCACTGCAGGGGGTTGGACTAGATGACCCTCGGGCCCCTTTCTCTTTTTCCATGAACTCTGCACTGTGCAAATGACATTTTCTTTGGTCTGTGCTGAATGACCCCAGAATTTCATTATTACGAGAGAAAAACCCACCTATCGACTTTCTCCACCGCAGGCACAATCTTACCTTTTCTTCAAACCTGTTAGGAAACCTTGCAGTGCCTTCTCTGTCTGTCAAAAAACTCTCCACAGACCCAGAGGTTTTTGCTCCACTCGCAAAGGTTCTTTCCACTGGGCCACAAAATGTTTGGGAACTCGGGCTTATTTTGCATTCTGAGCTGGTTTTTAAAATAGTGGTGTGTGTTTTTATGCCTTCTGCGCGTTCGGGAAGATCATACAAAACTCGGGGGATATTCTTAGGCAGATAACCTACCCTGCCCCGTAAGCCGAACTGCAAAGCTTCTAAAGCGAAGAGTCGGATTGAAAACGTTATTTTAAAAGGGAGAATTTCAAAACGCAACAAAGCTTTTTATTTCGCTCTTCAAACCGAAGGTCGCGGAAGGCGGAAAAGAACAGCTTTTCTCCGGAAAAGAAAACCTTTTAAAAGCAACAATAACAATAAATCTGGATAAAAGGGGGTGGGTGGGGCGGAACTTTTTAAGAGCCGTTGTTCCCCAGGGGTGGGTGGGTGTGCCAAGGAAGGGAGAAGCCAACCCACCACGTTGTCAAGATCGCAGAGTGACAACTCTCCAGGATGCGGCTGATTCGACGGGCGGCAGATAACGGCAGTGATTAACGCCGCAGTGATGATGATCTGCCGCCGGTGCCCACAGAGGGGGCGGACACAGCGCAGAGAGGCGGGGGTTGGCGTTTTGCGCCAGCACGGCCGGAGGTTTCGGGCTAGGGCCGCGAGCACGGCCAAAGGGAGCCATAGAGGCCTGAAACATCAGAAGGGCGCTGGCAGGGCATGGCACAGGAGGGGAGCTGGGGCTCTGGGTGGGTGCAGAACGTGGAAACTGTGACCGGGGAACACCAGGAAGGGGCCCGGGCACGGAACTGCAGCGCTGAGAAGTGCCGCCAAGAACGTACATTAACTTTCCAAGAAGGCAAGGAACTTGCAAGGTGACAGGCCGCGATCTGGGCACTTTGGAGGGGCACCTATTGTTTAAAAGGGGCTCTTTCCCCAACAACCTCCCGCCCACCCATTCCCGGTTCGAGGCCAGGGACTGGTCCTAGCTGGAGGAAAAGCAAGCCGCCTTGTTGTCTTCCACTTTCTCCTGAGCTCTCTTCTCATCTAAGCTAAGCCTCCTTCCTTCCTCTGAGCTGGTGGCGGCGGCGGCGGAATCTCCTTCCCCGAAGAGGAGTGCAAAATATCCTTCCTGATCTGCGCTCTCGTCCTCTCTAAGCCCTGCCTCGCTGTCGTCACCTGAGGAAAACGCAACACCGTCAGGGAGGGAGGGTGGGACAACGCGCGCGGCAGGCAACCCAAGTCGGAAGTGTAGATTTCGGCGGCTTGCAAAGGAGCAAATCAAACAAAAGCAATCGAAATAGCTGAACGCGACAGATGCTTCAAGTCGTCCCCCCAAATTCAGCTGAAAAGGCAACTTTCATTTGCTCAATGCAAACGGTCTGTAAATTTTGATTACAAACCTGGTTTGCAACGGGCAATTGAGTAATTTCGATTGCAACTGCAGCTGCTAGCTGCATGATTAATGCAAACCTTGGAGACGCAAGCCACCCCCCTTCTAGCTGATTTCAGGGACACAACGAAGGCAAGTAATTTTTCATCCCCTGCCCCCCCCAGCACATCTGCAGGGAAGCAGTTCCCCTGGTTATGAACTCCACTGCAATCTGAACAATATTACGGTTGCTATTATTTAAATTAGTATACTGTCCAACATCTGTAGATCCTGGGGGTGGTCCGCAACACAAAATCGCAATGCAAAAAATGCAAAATGCATAGCAAAGAACGAAGCAAGCCATCTTAACAACATAGCCAAGCGCTCAAACTGAGCTCTTCTTAGCTTGTAGGTCATTCCTCCCTGGAAGGCAGTGCTGGATTTATGCATAAGCTAAACAAGCCCCAAAAAATGTAAAGAGGAAAAAAACCTGAATGTACATTTCCAAAATATGATAAAAAACAAATAAAATAAAACCTACATACAGCAACAGTGTTTTGTGTTGTGTAGGCTCCTATGATGTAAGTCATGGGCCCGCCCTGCTAGCCTGCTCCCTAAAATATCCCTGGTTTACTCCTTTCTATATATAGGGTCCCTACATTCTGCATCGACTGGTTGCATGACCACATGTGCAAATGGCTTCAGATATCTGTTAGGTCTATCAATTACCATATAGCATACATTCCACACACAAAAACAGCGACAATTTGTGGTTGACAAAGGACAGCTGGACATGGAAAGGGCCCCGTTACCTTCAGCAGCTGAGGGCCTCGTCAAACCTAAATCTGGCCCTGACCCAAACTGGTGCCAAATGTCTTGCTCTGCTTTCCTTCGGACCCGGTAGCTGGGGGGGTCTTGCCCTCTGGGCAGCCCAAGACCTCCGGACACACGGCCCAGGCTTGCGACCCGGGGAAGTCCCTTCGATGCTGTAAATGCATCAATTTGGCTTCACCCCCAGAGACGCACTCCATTGTCTCTTGAGACGGACGGGTGTTGACAACAATTAGCGCCTTCAGTAGCTTAAAGGTAAACGGACCCCTGACCATTAGGTCCAGTCGTGGCCGACTCTGGGGTTGCTGCGCTCATCTGGCTTTATTGGCCGAGGGAGCCGGCGTACAGCTTCCGGGTCATGTGGCCAGCAGGACTAAGCCGCTTCTGGCGAACCAGAGCAGCGCACGGAAACGCAGTTTACCTTCCCGCCGGAGTGGCACCTATTTATCTACTTGCACTTTGACGTGCTTTCGAACTGCTAGGTGGGCAGGAGCAGGGACCGAGCAACGGGAGCTCACCCCCTCGCAGGGATTCGAACCGCCGACCTTCTGATCGGCAAGTCCTAGGCTCTGTGGTTTAACCCACAGCGCCACCTGCGCCCCTCTTCAGTAGCTTAGGGCCTCATCAAACCTAAATCCAGCCCTGCTGTAAACCTGGCTGGGCCCCCCAAGACCAACGGGAACCATCCCCTGCCGCCTCCCGGCTCCCTTACCTGGCACGGTGAAGTCCTGAGTGTAGATGATCTCGTCCTCCAAGTAGTCATCTTTCAAGTCGTCGTCGTCCTCCTCTTCGTTGTAGCCGTGCAGGTCTTCAAGGTAAGGCACCACCGTCATACTCCGCCATCGGTCCTTCGTCTCCGGGCTGGGCGGGATGGGGACCAGAGGGTCGGCCTGCGCGTGCTTTTTCCGAAACCAGCTGCAGGAAAAGAAGGGAGGGAAGGGAGTGGAGGCGGTGGGTCCTCGGGGGATAGGAACCCTCGGCTCACGGGGGGACCCCAGGGGTCATCCGGTTCAACCCTCTGCAATGCAGGAATCTCAACCAAAGACGGCCACCCAACCTCTGCTTAAAAACCGCCAAGGAAGAACAGTCCAGCACCTTCCGCTGTCAAACAGCTGTCAACATCAGGAAGGGCTTTCCGACAGAGTCGGAACCTCCTTCCTTGTAACTCGAAGCCATGGGTTCGAGTCCTATCCTCCGGAGCAAGAGGAGGAAACAAGATTTATCAGCTCTTTTAAAATGAGGCTGCATTTTAAAATTGCATTTTAAATTGGTCTTCTTTCTTCTCCCCCCCCTTTTTCTCCTATTATGTTTTTACTGTGATTTTATTGGTGTCAGCCGCCCTGAACCCCGGCTCTGGCCAGGGAGGGCGGGGCATAAATAAAATTTAATAACAATATTAACAAAATTATTCCCTCTTCCATGGGACAGCCCTTCAGATATTGCAGGCATTTCCAAAGGCCTAATTTACTGTATTTTTTGCTCTATAAGACTCACCCTTTCCCTCCTAAAAAGTAAGGGGAAATGTGTGTGCGTCTTATGGAGCGAATGCAGGCTGCGCAGCTATCCCAGAAGCCAGAACAGCAAGAGGGATCGCTGCTTTCACTGCGCAGCGATCCCTCTTGCTGTTCTGGCTTCTGAGATTCAGAATATTTTGTTTGTTTGTTTTCCTCCTCCAAAAATTAGGTGCGTCTTGTGGTCTGGTGCATCTTATAGAGCGGAAAATACGGTAACCTGCCCGCTGTGGCAGTAAAATCCCCCAAAAAGCTCAACAACTTTGGCTGGCCCTCACGCATGTTCACTTCATCAAATCTGGCCCTTTTTGAAAAAAGTTTGGGCACCCCTGAGATATTGGAAGAAGGTTCTCCTATCTCCTCTTTTCCAGGCTAAACATACCCAGCTCCTTCAACCACTCCTCATCAGGCTTGGTCCCCAGACCCTTGATCTTCTGGGCTGCCCTCCTCTGCCCACCTTCCAGCCTGCCAACACCCGTCTCACAAAGGCAGCACTGAACTAAATGGACCATTGATCTGACCCAGGTCCTGCCCTCGGGAGCCGGAGGAAACAAGCTTGCTGCATCTTCCATGAGACAGCCTTGGAAGATGGCTATCACTGGGTCCATCTGGATTTAGTGGTCGGTCTCTGGGTGAATCTCAGAACTGCAGGGCTGGAAGGGTCATCTAGCCAAACCCCCTACGACCGAGGAACCTTTTGCCGAACGTGGGGCTCTAGCTGGAGATTAAGAGCTATTCCTGTGCAGGGAAGCTTTTGCAGCCTGGAGGGTTGGGGGCATGTTTCCTTACGGGCAATCTTCCAAGGGCCACGTGGCAGTGGCGCGGGGGGCCAGAGGCAATTCTTTAAAGATGGGCGGAGCCATATTTGCGACTCTTGCCTTTGCGGCTAAATTAAGAGCCGCGCAAGGTTGTCCCTAGGCACACGGAGAGCTCTCCATCCAAGCTAATGAGAGGATGTTTTTTCCAGGTTGAGTACCTGTGTCAGCCAGGCCAGAGCCCACAAGGAAGGGGTGGAGCACAGCCAGCCAAAGGTGTGGCCTGCATTTGAGAATCTTAGAACTGGAAGGGACCCTGTGGGTCATCTAGTCCAACCCCCTAAAAGGTAAAGGGACCCCTGACCATTAGGTCCAGTTGTGGCCGACTCTGGGGTTGCGGTGCTCATCTCACTTTATTGGCCGAGGGAGCCGGCGTACAGCTTCCGGGTCATGTGGCCAGCAGGACTAAGCCGCTTCTGGCGAACCAGAGCAACGCACGGAAACGCCGTTTACCTTCCCGCCAGAGTGGTACCTATTTATCTACTTGCACTTCGTGCTTTCAAAGTGCTAGGTTGGCAGGAGCAGGGACGGAGCAACGGGAGCTCACCCCGTCATCGTGGGGATTCGAACCGCCGACCTTCTGATCGGCAAGTCCTAGGCTCTGTGGTTTAACCCACAGCGCTACCCGCGTCCCTTCGTCCAACCCCCTACAAAGCAGGAAATTTTTTCCGCCCAACGTGGGGCTCAAACCCACAACCCGGAGATTAAGAATCTCGTGCTCTACCGACTGAGCCACCCCAGGAATGCCCCCCAAGGGCTAGCCCTCTCCTTCCAGCTCTTCTCGGGAAGATAGGCTACTTTTCCACCCATCCGTCCACTGCAAGGCTCTGAAGCCATCTGCCAATTGGGGATGGGGGGGGGAGCGCAGAGTTCTTAATCACATCAGCCCCACCAATTGCCTCCTATCAAGGTCAGCATCTGGGGAGTCCGTGTGTTGGGAGGGGAAGCAGACAGATTCTTTTTACAGCTGTGCCAGCTCCCCCCCCCCCGACTGCAGCTGCCATCTGGGAGTTAAGGATTTCCTAGAAAATAACCGTCAGGCTTTCTTTTAAATCCATTTGCTGTCATTTGCTTGAACGTTTGCTCCCCGTCTGCTCCAGCTGGGATTTCCGGACTGTGTATTTTTTTAATGTTATCATTTCTTTGCTTGGAAGGGGGGACGATGGGATCCACACACACTCCCATCTAGAATACAGTGGTACCTCGGGTTAAGTACTTAATTCGTTCCGGAGGTCCGTTCTTAACCTGAAACTGTTCTTAGCCTGAAGCACCACTTTAGCTAATGGGGCCTCCTGCTGCTGCTGCACCGCCGGATCACGATTTCTGTTCTCATCCTGAAGCAAAGTTCTTAACCCGAGGTACTATTTCTGGGTTAGCGGAGTCTGTAACCTGAAGCGTATGTAACCTGAGGTACCACTGTAATATTAATATTAATAAATAAATTTATACCTCGCCCATCTGGGTGGCTCCCAACAGAATATTAAAAACACGATAAAACATCAAACATTAAAAACTCCCCTAAACAGGGCTGCCTTCAGATGTCTTCTAAAAGTCAGGTAGTTGTTTATTTCCTTGACATCTGATGGGAGGGTGTCAGGGGTGCCGACTTATAAAAAATATTGGGGGGACCCATACCGGGGTCCTGCCCCGGGTAGTTTTCTAAGCGAATGATCAACGGGAGGTTGTCTCGCCTCGGCTTTCCCCCTTCTGGCCAGCGGCGGCGGATTCTCCCTTCCCGAGAAAGGGGGTGGCGCTGGCGGGCCAGGAGGGGCGAGGGCGGGCCGGGCGGGCGGGCCATGGGCGGGCCATGGGCGGCAGCATCCCGGGCGGAGGCCGCGGAGGAGTGAGGCGAGGGCAAACAGCCCCCGACCCCCGAGGGGACTCCCACCCGCCCGGCCGCGGCTCCCTGGGCAGCCTAGATCTCGCCGCCGCTTCGCCGCCTCCGCCCGCTTTCGCGGGGAAGCAGTGCGCGAAACTAATAACTTTCTTAAATTATTGGGGGGGCAGAGCCCCCCCAAACAAATTTTTGAGGGGGCTCGGGCCCCCTCAGGCCCCATGGAGTCGGCGCCTATGGAGGGTGTTCCACAGGGCAGGCGCCACCACCGAGAAGTCTACCGCCCTTCATCCATAGATCTCAAGAAGTCTCAGAACATTTAAAAATTCAATGTATTTTTTGTGCAGGATACGAAAATGCATCTGCTCCCACCTTCTCAAAACAGTAAAAGTAAAGGTAAAGGGACCCCTGACCATTAGGTCCAGTCGTGGCCGACTCTGGGGTTGCGGCGCTCATCTTGCTTTATTGGCCGAGGGAGCCGGCGTTCGGGTCATGTGGCCAGCATGACTGAGCCGCTTCTGGCGAACCAGAGCAGCGCACGGAAACGCCGTTTACCTTCCCGCCGGAGTGGTACCTATTTATCTACTTGCACTTTGACGTGCTTTCGAACTGCTAGGTTGGCAGGAGCAACGACCGAGCAACGGGAGCTCACCCCGTCGCGGGGATTCGAAATGCCGACCTTCCGATCGGCAAACAGTAGGTTATTATTATTATTATTTTAAAAAAACCTGAATCCTCAAAATTATTAATAAAAGGAAACGAAGAAACGAGGCTCTGCCTCTTTTCCAGTCTGCTCCTTCTTAGTCGCCCCACCACCTTCTTCCCCTGGGGGTTCCCCGGCTGCTGCCTTCCACCACTCCTCAGCAACCAGCCACAGTCCATGGCAATATCTCAGACCATGAGGACCAGAGCCTTCCTTTACGTTTAGGGGAGAGAGCACAGATCAGTGGTGGCACACACATTTTGCCTGCGAAAAGGTTCTGAGTCCCCAATCTGAGGCCCTGGACAGTTATCCAGGGTAACAGCGGCTAACAGATTGAGGTTGAATCCTGACAAGACAGAAATACTGCTTTGGGGGGACAGGGGGTGGGCGGGTGTGGAGGACTCCCTGGTCCTGAATGGGGTAACTGTGCCCACGAAGGACCAGGTGCACAGCCTGGGAGTCATTTTGGACTCACAGCTGTCCATGGAGGCGCAGATCAGTTCTGTGTCCAGGGTGGCCGTCTACCATCTCCACTTGGTACGCAGACCCTACTGGCCCGCGGACTGTCTCGTCAGAGTGGTGCATGCTCTAGTTATCTCCCGCTTGGACTACTGCAACGCGCTCTACGTGGGGCTACCTTTGAAGGTGACCCGGAAACTGCAATTAATCCAGAATGCGGCAGCTAGACTGGGGACTGGGAGCGGCCACCGGGACCATATAACACCGGTCCTGAGAGATCTGCACTGGATCCCAGTACGTTTCCGAGCACAATTCAAAGTGTTGGTGCTGACCTTTCAAGCCCTAAACGGCCTCGGCCCTGTATACCTGCAGGAGCGTCTCCATCCCCAATGTTCAGCCCGGACACTGAGGTCCAGCGCCGAGGGCCTTCTGACAGTTCCCTCATTGCGAGAAGTGAGGTTACAGGGAACCAGGCAGAGGGCCTTCTCGGTAGTGGCGCCCACCCTGTGGAACACTCTCCCTTCAGAAGTCAAGGAGATAAACAACTATCTGACTTTTGGAAGACATCTGAAGGCAGCCCTGTTTAGGGAAGTTTTTAATATTTAACGCTGCACTGTTTTTAACACTTGACTGGAAGCCGCCCAGAGTGGCTGGGAAAACTCAGCCAGATGGGCGGGGTATAAATAATAAATTAGCTGGCTCGGACAATCCTACAGCCGTTGGGCCAGTGGTCTGACTGAAGCCAGACCGCAGCTTCCCACAAAGCAGACTGGGACGCGACAGAACGGCAAACATTAGCAGCGCAGGTGGTCAAGACGTGATTTGCTCTATTTTAAATCCCTTCTCTTTCCCCACCTGCGTGTGCCCTACTTAACACAGGAGTAATAAAATACATTCGAACCCTGCAGGGGGATATTGATTGCGGCCCCCTCTGGGAGATTATATTCAAACATTTGCATATGAATCTATGGTGAGGATGAGAAGGAAAAATGTTGGGGGGGGGGAAGGATTGCGATTTTAATTCAGAGTGAGGAAGCGGAGGGGAAACGAAGGAAGGTTCTCTCCTGCATTTTCTGGGGAACGGGAGAAAAAAATGGAACCACAGAAACTATTTCTTTTTTTGGGGGGGGTCCCCATGTTGTGGCGCTGTGGGTTAAATCACAGAGCCTAGGACTTGCCGATCAGAAGGTCGGCGGTTCGAATCCCCGCAATGACGGGGTGAGCTCCCGTTGCTCGGTCCCTGCTCCTGCCAACCTAGCAGTTCGAAAGCACGTCAAAGTGCAAGTAGATCAATAGGTACCACTCCGGCGGGAAGGTAAACGGCGTTTCTGTGCACTGCTCTGGTTCGCCAGAAGCGGCTTAGTCCTGCTGGCCACGTGACCCGGAAGCTGTACGCCGGCTCCCTCGGCCAATAAAGCAGATGAGCGCTGCAACCCCAGAGTCGTCCACGACTGGACCTAATGGTCAGGGGCCCTTTGCCATGTTGTTTGCATGTGCAAGCTAAACTGAATGCAGGATGGCCCTTCCTTCTGGGATTTATTTATTTTGTGTGTATGTTGGGGGGTTAGTCTCAGACCCCCCCCCAGTTCTGAATTAATAAAAGAGGGAGGGATGGGTGGCAAAGACTACCCCCTGGGCCTTGCCCCGTATAATCTGGGTAGTTACTGAGGGCCAGAAAGAAGTGAAGAGCCATTTCCAAGGCTGGAAGAAGTTGGAGCAGAACATTAGCCCATGGTTCCCCTACTTTGCAATCTTTATAGTTTGCAGTGCACTTGTTTGCAGGTGACTTTGGGGTTGCGGCGCTCATCTCACTTTCAGGCAAAGGGAGCTGGTGTTTGTCTGCAGACAGCTTTCTGGGTCATGTGGCCAGCAGGACTAAACCGCTTCTGGCGCAACAGGACACCATGACAGAAACCAGAGCGCACGGAAACACCGTTTACCTTCCCGCCGTAGCGGTGCCTATTTATCTACTTGCGCTGGCATGCTTTCGAACTGCTAGGTTGGCAGGAGCTGGGACCGAGCAACGGGAGCTCACCCCGTCATTGCGGGGATTCGAACCGCCGACCTTCCGATCGGCAAGCCCAAGAGGCTGAGTGGTTTAGACCACAGCGCCACCCGCGTCCCTGCTAAAAAGGTGCGCTTAATTAGTCAATGGAGTTTTGTTTTTAGTTTTTAAATGTGATGTGCTATAGTGGGAACGGCTTTTGCTTTGCACACGATCACAGAACCGTAGGATTGTAAGGGACTACGAGGGTGCAGGGTTCAATCCCTGATGTCTCCAAGTAAGACTGGGGGAGACCCCTCCCTGAGCCCCCGCCTGCCCTGTTTCGCACCCACCTTGGGTGGTTTTGCCAGAGCGGTGGTGTGTGTGCTTGTGGCCCCTTGCAAATCTACACCTGCGATCCTATGAATAAACAACAGAGCTGTATAAACAGGGGCGAACGTAACCGATAGGGCAGTGGGTGGGAAAGCTGGAGTCTCTGCAGCCCTCGTTTCTGGGGCAAGAGGAGCCCTAGGAACGGAAGGGTTGAGCCCCATCTCTCCGGGCAGTGCTGTGACAGGAGAGAACCTAAAATAGCCAGTTAGTAGGGAATGCGCGGCCTCAGCATGCCAGCGCTTGATCTCTGCACCAGGCAGCCTACAGCCTCTCCGCGGCTGGGTCTCTGGGGACGGCCCTTCACTTCCAGCTGGGTTAGCTTGACATGAAAGAGCTGACAAAGCACCACGAATGTGGAGGGAAAGGGGGGGATGGGAGCAGCCAAAAACAGCAGACACAGTGGGCACAGGTGGAAACAGGCACCTCGGAAACCTGCAGAGAGGTCTGCTCAGGGGAACCTCTCTGCATAGGAGCAGTCGACAGAGACTCTCAAATCGTGGGGGTTCGATCCCTGTGTTGGGCAAAGGTTCCTGGATTGCAAGTGGGTGACTCTCGTGGTCCCTTCCGACTCTGTATGGTCTGTACTCCGCTGGCAGTAGGAGTGCAATATGGGCATGTCTTCAAGTTAACACCTTACATTAAAAACCTGACAGTGCCAAACCATCGAAGGCTTTTCACCAAAGCCAGACTAAACGTCTTTCCTTCTGCAGCGTTGAGAGGAGTTCCCTACCAGGACAGACTTTGCTCGTGGGCTCAAGACATCGATTCCATAAAACATATATTGCTGCACTGTGCGAAATACGAGCAAGCCAGGGCTGAACTGATACTACCCTTGCTGGTACCTTTCCCGGGAAAATCAGAGGCTCAGTCTGTCAGGTTCCTATTGGAAGACCGGACAAACGCTAGAACATTAGCAGTGGCGAAGTTTTTATCGGTGGTTGCAAGAACCAATGATCCCTATATTCTGAACAAAATGCTTGTTTAACCTGGAGGCAGGCGTTTCCGTGCGCTGCTCTGGTTCGCCAGAAGCGGCTTAGTCCTTCTGGCCACATGACCCGGAAGCTGTACGCCGGCTCCCTCGGCCAATAAAGCGAGATGAGCGCTGCAACCCCAGAGTCAGCCACGACTGGACCTAATGGTCAGGGGTCCCTTTACCTTTAAGGGATTCCACATTCCATTCCACCCCTTCCTCCTGGCTTTCCATGCCGCCCCCCCCCCAGCAGCTGAGCCAGCATTCCACACCTCCTGAGCATGCTCTGTTCTGACGGAGGCGTTCTACTGGGCATGCTCCGTGGGCACGGAATGCGGACTTCGCTTCTGGAGGGGAAAGATGGAAGAAAAAGGGAACTTCGCCTTTTGGGATCCCCCCTCAAAAATACAGTGGTACCTCGGGTTACATACGCTTCAGGTTACATACGCTTCAGGTTACAGACTCCGCTAACCCAGAAATAGTGCTTCCGGTTGAGAACAGAAATCGTGCTCCGGCGGCGGGGCAGTAGCGGGAGGCCCCATTAGCTAAAGTGGTGCTTCAGGCTAAGAACAGTTTCAGGTTAAGAACGGACCTCTGGAACGAATTAAGTATTTAACACGAGGTACCACTGTATATGCTAAGGGACGCGGGTGGCGCTGTGGGTAAAAGCCTCAGCGCCTAGGGCTTGCCGATCGAAAGGTCGGCGGTTCGAATCCCTGTGGCGGGGTGCGCTCCCGTTGCTCGGTCCCAGCGCCTGCCAACCTAGCAGTTCGAAAGCACCCCTGGGTGCAAGTAGATAAATAGGGACCGCTTACTGGCGGGAAGGTAAACGGCGTTTCCGTGTGCTGCGCTGGCTTGCCAGATGCAGCTTTGTCACTCTGGCCACGTGACCTGGAAGTGTCTCCGGACAGCGCTGGCCCCCGGCCTCTTAAGTGAGATGGGTGCACAACCCTAGAGTCTGTCAAGACTGGCCCGTACGGGCAGGGGTACCTTTACCTTACCACTGTATATATATTTCGCCCTTCTGCAAACCTTTTGGGGGGGGGGAGCCTCCCATGCCTGCCCATTCTTCCACTTGGGTGCAGATGCAGACATTTTTTTTCGGGTGAGGATCCACAGCCAGGACATCGAGTTCTCTATTAGTACACAGGATCCCACCCACCGACAGTTTTACTGGGGAATTCCATACCTGCTGTGGCTTTTACTAGGGCAACGCAGCCTTTCCTCTGAAGCAACTGCATACTTTTTATCGATCTGCGAGCGAGCTTTGAAAGCTTCCCCGAAGGCTTTTTAAAGAACCAAATGGGATGCTTTCCTTTCTTTTTCTTTTTTAAAAAAAGGGTTGTAAATTACCCAGCGCTGCACCCCCCTCAGCTCCCTTTTATCCTTCCTTCCTGCTGCCTCCGAGCAAAGCAGCAAAGAAGTGGTTCGTGCCCAACCACCGCCACAAGAAAAATCCCATCACAATCAGATAGAAGGAAGCAGAAGAAGAAGAAGAAGAAACCTCCAGCACTCACTTGTGGTGTCTTATCTGTTGTATCGAAAACCTCTTGGCTGGTTCGTATTCAAGCATTCCTGGAAAAGAAAGGGAAGGCGGAGAGAAACATTTAAGTTAGGCGTCAAGCACCAGGCAGCTGGTGAAAAAGGGGTTCAGAGTTGTTGCTGCCGTCCATTATTATTATTATTATTATTATTATTATTATTATTATTATTATTATTATTATTATTAAATTTGTTTGCCACCCTTTACCCGTAGATCCCAGGGCGGCTCACAATCACAACATAAAATTATGGCAAGGTAAAGGTAAAGGGACCCCTGACCGTTAGGTCCAGTTGTGGCCGACTCTGGGGTTGCGGCGCTCATCTCGCTTTACTGGCCGAGGGAGCCGGCGTACAGCTTCCGGGTCATGTGGCCAGCAGGACGAAGCCGTTTCTGGCGAACCAAAGCAGTGCACGGAAATGCCTTTTACCTTCCCGCCGGAGCGGTACCTATTTATCTACTTGTGCTTTGACGTGCTTTTGAACTGCTAGGTTGGCAGGAGCAGGGACCGAGCAACGGGAGCTCACCCCGTCATTGCGGAGATTCGAACCGCCAACCTTCTGATCAGCAAGTCCTAGGCTCTGTGGTTTAACCCACAGCGCCACCCGCGTCCCTTAGCTCCTTTTTACTGCAACAGTAAAAAAATTCTCATGAGCCTGCTTTTTCCACAATGCTCCATTTAGGAACTGTGATTATTATTATTATTAAACCAAGCTGCGGAAGAGAACTCTTGAGGAGGAATCGTGTGGTTAATGGCACCACCCAACGCAGAGGTATTTGCAAGCTGGCCCACCCCCCAAATTGGTGGGAACTTGCTCTGGAGACACACCCAACGCTCAGGGAGCAAAGCTGTTCTTGTCTGGGCCAGCTTTTAATGGAGGGAAGCCCAGCTCGGTTTATGGGGCTCTTTTAAATCTATTTTGGCACGCATTTCATCCCGTCAGGAGCGTTGGGGGGGGGGCAGAGACACAGGCCCTTGCTGTGTGTTGCAACATGCCGCTGCGGCCCTTCAGACGAGGCGGGCTGCAAATCCAAGAATAAAAGGAATGTCTGTCGCGGGAGAAACAGGACCAGCTGCTTGGAGAACAGTTCCGAGCCGGGCCTTATGTAACGGCGCTCTGAGGAGATAAGATGCGGGAGCCTTACACCAGAGCGATAACCGTCGCAAAAAAAAAGAGAGAAGCAAAATCAAAATAGCCGTGCAGATGGCATTGGCTGCAAGGGGGAGGGAGGTTAGTCAGGCACTCGGGGAGAGGCAGGAACGAAGGAAATGATGATTGCAAGTCTCCTTTGATGCACAATTTCTGAAAAGCAGGAAAATAACCCGTGCATGCAGCGCCACCTGCAGGAGCCTCTCAGGAACTGCAGCCTTCTGAAGCAGCGGAGGAAAAATCAGTGTATTCAGAGAGTTGGAAGGGACCACGAGGAAACTAAGGCCCGGGGGCCGGATCCGGCCCAATCGCCTTCTCAATCCGGCCCGCGGACGGTTCGGGAATCAGCGTGTTTTTACATGAGTAGAATGTGTCCTTTTATTTAAAATGCATTTCTGGGTTATTTGTGGGGCCTGCCTGGTGCTTTTACATGAGTAGAATGTGTGCTTTTCTTTAAAATGCATCTCTGGGTTATTTGTGGGGCATAGGAATTCGTTCATTTTTTCACCCAAAATATAGTCCGGCCCCCCACAAGGCCTGAGGGTCAGTGGACCGGCCCCCTGCTGAAAAAGTTTGCTGACTCCTGAGCCCAACCCCCTGCAATGCAAGAATCTTTTGCCCAAGGTTGGGCTCGAACCCTACGAACCTCAGATTAAGGGTCTTGAGCTCTGCCGGCTGAGCTACCCCTCTGGCACTGAAATAAGAGGATGGCTAAGAGTGACGCACGAAGATTCCCTACTAGTTCCTCTTCCCCAATCAGGATGTGTGCCTATCTCTCGCTTGCGCTCTGAATTCTCCAATGAACTCAGACCGCCTACTTCTGTGATGTATGTATGATGTTTTGGGGGGTGGTCTTGGGCTACAGGGTGGGCAATTTCAAAAGTCTATATAGGGGCTTGCACACCATTGTTCGGGGTTCTCCTCCCTCCTGCGTGTTGCGAGTGGGGACCCTGTTGCAACAGTTCCTTGAATAAAGATCAGGATTACTGGCTGCTTTGCTTCTCAATATACTCTGGTAAAAAGGTCAAGGTACCCCTGCCCGTATGGGCCAGTCGTGACCGACTCTGCGGTTGCGTGCTCATCTCGCTTAAGAGGCCGGGAGCCAGCGCTGTCCGAAGACACTTCCGGGTCACGTGGCCAGCGTGACGAAGCTGCTCTGGCAAGCCAGCACCAGCGCAGCGCACGGAAACGCCGTTTACCTTCCCGCTATAAAGCGGTACCTATTTATCTACTTGCACTTAGGGGTGCTTTCGAACTGCTAGGTGGGCAGGAAGATGGGACTGAGCAACGGGAGCGCACCCCGCCGCGGGGATTCGAACCGCCGACCATACGATCGGCAAGCCCTAGGCGCTGAGGCTTTTACCCACAGCGCCACCCGCGTCCCAATATACTCTGGTAGGCCCCTGCTATTTTCTCCTACCGATAGGGAACCCACTTAAGGACTCTATACGGGCTCTGGAATATCCCCTAAGGGAAAGGGAGCTGTTTTTCTTATAGCAGTTTGTTCTATTTGCTGGAGGATAAGAGCAAATCACACAGGCACAACAGTTTCCGGGGTGGAACTTTTCCTACAAAGCAAACTTGTGACACCAGCATCAGCATCGGCACTCACCTCTAAGCAGATCTGAAAGCAAAGGGCCGCAGTCCTCAGGAATCGTGTACTCCCCTTTCCCAATGTTTTCAAATAACTTATAAATATTATCGCCCTCAAAGGATAAAGGCCAGTCGTAATGTTGTATCTGCAAACAGATAAAAGGCACAGGTGTGATCAGCTTCCTGCTCTGGCTCTCTCGCACATCCCAACCTTGCTTGAAGCGGCTTGGGGGGGGGTTGAGGAGAGGGGGAAGCGGGACCCTTCCTGTCCCAGCTTCCTCTCCTTGCCAACCCCACCAGATCCTTCATTTCGCTTATCCGTTTGTTGGCGGTACACTGGTACCTCGGGTTACCAAACACTTCAGGTTACAATCTCCGCTAACCCGGAAGTAGTTGCCTCGGGTTGAGAACTTTGCCCCAGGATGAGAACGGAAATTGTGCGCCAGAGGGAGGCCCCATTAGCAAAAGCGCGCCTCAAGTTAAGAATGGACCTCCGGAACCAATTAAGTTCGTAACCCGAGGTACCACTGTATATATATGTCAACCCTATAACGTGAGAAGTTCCCTGGGTGGCTTAACGATAAAAGAGGGATTTGGAAGGGGAAAAAGAGAACAGTTTAAATTCAGAATAAAGCACAAATGCACGCAGCCGAACTCCTTCGTGTTGGGTGCATCTTAGTCTGCAGAAGAGGGGTTTTGATGAGGTGCTAAGATAGTTAAAGTAAAGGTAAAGGGACCCCTGACCATTAGGTCCAGTCATGGCTGACTCTGGGGTGGCGGCGCTCATCTCGCTTTACTGGCTGAGGGAGCCGGCGTGCAGCTTCCGGGTCATGTGGCCAGCAAGACTAAGCCGCTTCTGGCGAACCAGAGCAGCGCACGGAAATGCCTTTTACCTTCCCGCCGGAGTGGTACCTATTTATCTACTTGCACTTTGACTTGCTTTTGAACTGCTAGGTTGGCAGGAGCAGGGACCGAGCAATGGGAGCTCACCCCGTCATTGCGGGGATTCCAACCGCCGACCTTCTGATCGGCAAGTCCTAGGCTCTGTGGTTTAACCCACAGCGCCACCCGCGTCCCTAAATTAGGACCCACTGAGATACTTAGGGACCTACAAATTCCCAGGCCACTGCTGTACCTCCCTGTTACCAACACTGATAGGTACACGGTTGCAATCTGTTTTACAATTTCCTTCTCCTCTGCTAACTCGCTCTTGGACCTCAAGATGGAGGAAGCCCGGCTGCCTAACTCTTCTCTAGACTAGCTAGAGTAGAACGAGAAACATTTCTGGCCAAGTTACGCATTCCCTACAACGCGCAACTTTAATCTTTGCTTACCCGCAAGCACCCGTTGGGTTTGTGCGACTGCAAGCAAGGAAAGTCTACACTTGAACCCGGGTTCGCTAGCTGCTATCTCATCGCCCACAATCCCAATGTTTAACGCAAGAGAGAGATTTTAAAAAGGCCCAGCCTACACAAGCTATTCAAGAATCGCCCTGTGGATATAGTCAGGGCAGTGTCTCCAAACAGGACACTGAGGTCTGCGGAGGGGGTAAGCTGCGGTGAGCGGCAGTGTGGCATAGTGGTCAGGAGTGTTGGACTAGGACCTGGCAGAGACCAGGGCTCTAATAATAAATAATAATAATAATAATAATAATAATAATAATAATAATAAATAAACTGTGTATACTTGCCCTCCCTAGGGACGTGGGTGGCACTGTGGGTTAAACCACTGAGCCTAGGACTTGCCGATCAGAAGGTCGGCGGTTCGAATCCCCGCAACGGGGTGAGCTCCCGTTGCTCGGTCTGACCTTCTGATTGGCAAGTCCTAGGCTCTGGGGTTTAACCCACAGCGCCACCCGCGTCCCTCTCTCAGCCTAACCTACCTTAAAGGGGTGCTGTGGGGATTAACAGAGGATGGGGAGAACCCATACACACAAGGAGGTGAGCTCCTTGAAGGGGAAAAAGGTGGGATAGAAATGCAACAATTAAATAAGATGGTGCCCCCGTCCCTTTCTGAAGGGTGTAGCCTCCCCCACTTCGAATAGAGAATTCATGGGTGGGGAAGGCTGGCTTAGGAAGCTGGAGAAGGAGGGGGAAGCCGTGGCTGTGCATTCCCAATGTGTGCTGGGGCAGAGTATGGAATTAATAGCCCAGAGCTCATCCAAGAACAGGGGGTTCAGAAGAATGGCAGATGAAGACGATGGATTTTTCAAAGCTAGCCGACCTAACCAAAAGAGTCTGCGACCAGGAGGAGGAAGGGTATCAGGAAGAATGGACAAAATTTAATGATTATTTAGTTAAATATGTTAAGCTATTTTAATTGGAAGCAGCTTGCAGGATTCTATGTAAGTTAAGTGATGAATTAATATGTTTAATTTCAAAACGATACAATATTTAAAGATGTTAACGTTCAAGTCACCGCATTTTTCGCTCTATAAGATGCACCAGACCACAAGATGCACCTAGTTTTTGGAGGAGCAAAACAAGAAAAAAAATATTCTGAATCTCAGAAGCCAGAACAGCAAGAGGGATCGCTGCGCAGTGAAAGCAGCAATCCCTCTTGCTGTTCTGGCTTCTGGGATAGCTGCGCAGCCTGCAATCGCTCCATAAGACGCACACACATTTCCCCTTACTTTTTAGGAGGGGAAAAGTGAGTCTTATAGAGCAAAAAATACGGTAAATTTTATAAGAACTGCGATTTGGAAAACCGTTAAAAGGATATGCACTGAAATTCAACCAAGGGGAAGCGAGGAAGTCACTTAACAATGTCAATAAGTGTAATTTATAATAAGGTTATGATTTATATTTGTTTATTTGTTTATAATTTTGTGAAAATTAATAAAAAAAATTGAAAGAAAGGGGGGGTTCAAGGCAGTGGGGTGGTGGGCTCGGCACCTGCCCAGGAATGCCGCCTGCAGAGGCTAAGGCTGCCGTGAATTTGCCGGTTTTGTGCTTACAGCGTGACGCCAGCCGACCAGATGTCCACTTTGAAGCCGGAGAAGGTGTCCAGGCCGTTGGCGATTTCCGGGGGCTGAAAAGCCGGCGAGCCCTGGCTCGTTCGGCACATGTCGTCCTCTGCAAACGGGTGCAACGCCTGCGGGAGGGAGATAAACGAGAGAGGCGTAGGGGGAGAGAGGGGGATAGTGCGGGTTAATCCTAGGTCAAAAGCAAAGGGAAAACCGAGAATCTCCACTTATCAGCTCCCACATTCTGAAGAATCAGAGGAACGCCTTCCAGTCTCTCGTGGACCAAACCCAAGGTGGTTCCTGGGGCTTTGGAAGCAGGGCACTTCTGAGCCCTGAAAATTGCCGTATTTTTCGCCCTATAGGGCGTACCGGTAACCAGGGAGCAGGACCTTTTGAGTGTGGCTGCCCCTCTTCCGTGGGTCAACCACTATCCACACTTCTGGTAAAGCTTCTTTAGACAACAACGTCTTCATTCAGTTAACGAAGACATTGCTGCCTCAAGAAGCTCTCCCAGCCGGACGAGAAGTTCTATTGCCTCGGATGTTCCTTCCGTATTGCTTCCAAAAATCTCTCTTTCGTCATTTGTGTTACTTTCTTTTTGGTGGTTTATGTCCTATTTTTGTAAACTGCCTTGGCGCACACGCAAGAGGGAGATTCGTAGGCAAACAAAAGGCATGCCTGAGCATGGGAGCTTAAAAAACGTACCTCTGCCACGCCCAGATCCGAAATCTTCAGCGTCCCATTGGTCGTGAGCAGGAGGTTTCCTGGTTTGATATCCTTGTGGACAATCCCTTGGCTGTGCAGGTATTCTAAGCCGTCGATAAGCTGGCAGAAGTACCTGCATGTGCAGAGGGGAGAAGGAGAGGGGGAAACCTGGATTCAAAAAGGACGCAAACACAAATTCGTTGAGATTCAAGTCATCGCACTGCTCTATTCTGCCTTGGTCAGGTGACACCTGGAGTCCTGCATCCAGTTCTGGGCACCGCAATTTAAGGAGGATATTTGCAAGCTGGAAGGTGTGCAGAGGAGGGCAACCAAGATCCACGCTTGCTGACAAACATCAGTAACATAATGATCCTGCGGGAACTGGAGCACCGGAGAAGGGGAGACAAATAATAATAATACTAATAATTTATTATTTGTACCCCGCCCATCTGGCTGGGTTTCCCCAGCCACTCTGGGTGGCTTCCACAGAAACCAAAAATACAGTAAAATCACACATTAAAAACTTCCCTGAACAGGGCTGCCTTAAGATGTCTTCTGAATGTCAGGTAGTTGTTTATCGCTTTGACATCTGGTGGGAAGGCGTTCCACAGGGCAGGCGCCACTACTGAGAAGGCCCTCTGCCTGCTTCCCTGTAACTTGGCTTCTCGCAGTGAGGGAACCGCCAGAAGGCCCTCGGCGCTGGACCTCAGTGGGGGTGGAGGTCCTTCAGGTCTACTGGACCGAGGCCTTTTAGGGCTTTAAAGGTCAACACCATCACTTTGAATTGTGCTCGGAAACATACTGGGAGCCAATGTAGGTATTTCAAGACCGGTGTTATGTGGTCTCGGCGGCCGCCCCCAGTCCCCAGTCTGGATGCCGCATTCTGGATTAGTTGTAGTTTCGGGGTCACCTTCAAAGGTAGCCCCACGTAGAGCGCATTGCAGTAGTCCAAGCGGGAGATAACTAGAGCATGCACCACTCTGGCGAGACAGTCCGCGGACAGGTAGGGTCTCAGCCTGCGTACCAGATGGAGTTGGTAGACAGCTGCCCTGGATACAGAATTGACCTGCGCCTCCATGGACAGCTGTGAGTCCAAAATGACTCCCAGGCTGCGCACCTGGTCCTTCAGGGGCACAGTTACCCCATTCAGGACCAGGGAGACAAAGGTTTTCAGGAGTTGACGTCAACAGAGGTGAGGATGCCAAGGTGATCTGGCAATGACATCAGGAGGACAGAGCAAGGGAAAACACAAACCTTTGGCCCGGTATACCTGAAGGAGCATCTTCACCCCCATAATGCACCCCGGACACTGAGGTCCAGCTCCGAGGGCCTTCTGGCGGTTCCCTCATTGCGAGAAGTGAGGTTACAGGGAACCAGGCAGAGAGCCTTCTCGGTGGTGGCGCCCTCCCATCAGAAGTCAAGGAGATAAACAACTACCTGACTTTTGGAAGACATCTGAAGGCAGCCCTGTTTAGGGAAGGTTTTAATGTCTGATGTTTTATTGTGTTTTTAATATTCTGTTGGGAGCCGCCCAGAGTGGCTGAGGAAACCCAGCCAGATGGGTGGGGTATAAATAATAAATTATTATTATTATTCAGTTTCCACTAGCACCAAAGCTAGGACTGCTCAGACAGGGTGGGGGGGTGGCACATGAAATGGCACCCGCCTTGCTTAACTTACCCATGCGCTTGAAAGACGGGGAACTTTTTGTCGGGGACGCTGTCCAACATCTCCTGCATCCCACACACGCAGTATTCCATCACCATATACGTGAGAGGAAGAGTTAAGGAAGCGGCAGCCAGGCAGGGTTAGAAAAATCAGATATACAGTGGTACCTCGGGTTACATATGCTTCAGGTTACAGACTCCGCTAACCCAGAAATAAGTACCCAGGGTTAAGAACTTTGCTTCAGGATGAGAACAGAAATCACATGGTGGCAGCAGGAGGCCCCATCAGCTAAAGTGGTGCTTCAGGTTAAGAACAGTTTCAGGTTAAGAACGGACCTCCGGAACAAATTAAGTACTTAACCCGAGGTACCACTGTATAAGCTAATCGTCAAATGGCGCCTGAAACCTAGGTCGCCACAACGGAACACCTAGTTGCCATTCCCCCCCCCCACTTCCCAAAAATGAAGTTTATTATTGTTATTATTGTTCATTTCACTTCTGTACCACTTTGTATTTTAAAGGGAAAAAATCTCAAAGTGGTTTATGACGCGTTAAAACGCCAATTTAAAAAAAAAATCCAGAATGAAAGAAATTCAATCATCAAAGAAAACATTTCAGATCCTTCTCTAAGGGACATGTTGCTTCCCCACCCCCCATTTATCTGCCTACATAATTTATACAGCTGCCCCATAGCAGAAGTGCTCCAGGAAGCCAGTGGGGTACAGGACCTGGGAGATCAGGGTTCGAATCCCCACTCGGTCACGAATCTCACGGGGTGACCTTGGAGTCAGTTGCAGCCTCTTAACCAGTGATGCCCAAACTTGGCCCCTCCAGCTGTTTTGGGACTACAACTCCCATCATCCCTAGGTAACAGGGCCTGTGGTCAGGGATGATGGAAACTGTAGTCCCAAAACAGCTGGAGGGCCAAGTGTGGCCATGCCTGCTCTTAACCTACCTCGCAGGTTCGTTGTAGGGAGGGTGAACCATGTACTCCTTGGGGGGAAAACAGTGGGAGATAAATGCAAGGAATAAGCTCTTTTGTTTCCCTGCTTATGAAAGCTGGTGGGGACAGGCAGATGGAGATGTAAGTCGCTAACCTGACACCCAGAGATTTCTACGTGGTCACAGTTGGACCCATGCCAGCTGCAAAATGCGCCTGGTGAATTTCAAACACTGCAGCCAGGCCAGAAGGGACGCGGGTGGCACTGTGGGTTAAACCACTGAGCCTAGGACTTGCCGATCAGAAGGTCAGCGGTTCGAATCCCCGCACGAGGGTGAGCTCCCGTTGCTCGGTCCCTGCTCCTGCCAACCTAGCAGTTCGAAAGCACGTCAAAAGTGCAAGTAGGTAAATAGGTACTGCTCTGGCGGGAAGGTAAACGGCGTTTCCGTGTGCTCTGGTTTCTGTCACGGTGTCCCGTTGCGCCAGAAGCAGTTTAGTCCTGCCGGCCACATGATCCAGCTCCTGGTTGACCGGCCAGATGGTGCCTACTGCTTCCACCTGCACAAGGACCGTGTCTATTACCTCAGTGAGAGGATTCTGAAGCTTGCCACAAACATCCCCGGGGAGAATCTGGTATCTCTCGGCACCTGCTTTGGAAAGTTCACCAAGATCCAGAAGTTCCGACTCCAGATCACTGCCCTCGATTGCCTTGCTCCCTACGCCAAGTACAAAGTGTGGGTGAAGCCTGGGGCAGAGCAGACCTTCCTTTACGGGAACCACATACTGAAGTCTGGCTTGGGGCGAATCACAGAGACCACTGCCCAGCACCAGGGTGTGGTGGTATATTCCAGGGCTTTGGAGTGGCAGCCAAGCCCAACCAGGAGTGCCGGAAAGTGGACCCCATGGTGATCGTGGCTTTTCACCAAGCGGATATTGGAGAATACATACGGCGTGAAGAGACGCTGACATAAATGGCAGGGCAGAAAGCCCCAAAGACTGACTTTCCTACTCCTCCTCGGATAGAAGCTGCAGGCTTTCAACCAGCCTGTGCCCCTTTTCCATGCAGACTGTGGAAGGCGCAACTGTGTAGGTTGTTAAACTGCCAGCAAAATATCTGTCTACCTCCTGATGGCCACAGTGAGACTGTAGATGAGTCAGAAAACTTTGGGATGTAGCTGCAGGCCTGGGACACAGCTACAATTCTGACACAGTAAAGCTATTTCATTTTTCTCCTTTAAAAAACAAAACAAAACTAAAGATGCCAAGGGCTGAACCTGAGACCTTCTGGACACCATGAAATGGGCGACTTCGCTCCTTGGGTAGCAAGGCAGAAGCGGCTTAGAATCCACGAGGCTCGCGAGAGAGGGGAAACGGACGGAGCCTGTAGCCGTACACGCCCCAGACAGGGGAGAAAAGGATATATCTTCTGCTTCTCTTCGTTGTACAAGACGTCAACCAGCTGGATGACGTTCTTGTGCCGCAGCCGCCGAAGGAGCTGAATTTCCCTGGAAGGAAGGAGAGAGAGGGAGAAATATATATATGCAGGTGACCAAAGCAACCTCCTCTTTGCAGAGGGAGTCAAGAGAGGACGCTCCCTTTGCTCTAGGAATGAATTCTGTTCCTGTTGCTGCGTGGGGGAGAGAATGGAGGCTCAGAGGCTGTTCCTTCTTGCAGGCACCGCAGCAGGTTGCTCTCTGAACCCACCCATCTCTAAGAACACCAGAAGAGACAGCATTCTGTTCTCACAGTGGCCAACCAGATGAGTCTATTATTCTATACCCCAACAGGAAACCCACAAGCAGGATCCGACCACAAGAGCAACTCTCCCCTCCTGTGATTTCCAGCAACTGGAATTCAGAACCATCGCTTTCTCTGACCGTGGAGGCAGAGAACAGCCATCCTTCCTAGTAGTGGACGCTGATAGTCCTCTCTGCCTCCACATAGCACTCAGCACTTGTGGGTCCTTGCGTTTGGGGGATAAAGCACACATATGCAACCTAAGAGGGACGCGGGTGGTGCTGTGGGTTAAACCACAGAGCCTAGGACTTGCTGATCAGAAGGTCGGTGGTTCGAATCCCCGCAACAGGGTGAGCTCCCATGGCTCGGTCCCTGCTCCTGCCAACCTAGCAGTTCGAAAGCACGTCAAGGGGCAAGTAGATAAATAGGTACCGCTTCGGAGGGAAGGTAAACGGCGTTTCCGTGCGCTGCTCTGGTTCGCCAGAAGCAGCTTAGTCCTGCTGGTCACATGACCCAGAAGCTGTACGCCGGCTCCCTCGGCCAATAAGGCGAGATGAGCGCCGCAACCCCAGAGTCAGCCATGAGTGGACATGAGTGTCCCTAGCTACTACTAAAATTCCGGAAATCCTTGCTGCGAGCTTTATTGCTTGCAAGTCCTTCGCCGCGGCCTCGAGCTCCCCCTTCTTTGTGGGAACGGCATGTTGGGAGAATCCTGGTCTTGTTGCAAGAGGCTTGCGCAAAGTGTTTTGCAAAGCGCTTGCGAGGCTAAACGAGCGACGCAAAGGGGCGCTTTGATTTCTAGAGAATCCGCCCCCCTCCCTCTCACCCTGCGCCTGGCCTTCCTCTGCGGTTCAGGCTACCAGTTCTTGGCAACCTCTGTTGCTTCATTCTGACACCCAAAAGCTCGAAAACAGGAAGAGAGACTCAGCTCTGTGTCAAGCTTTGGGGAAAGGGAACAGCTGATTGGCAGCAGGAAGGGAGAGAGAGAGAGAGAGAGAGAAAAGGCGACTCGTGAGGAGGCTCTGGCTGCCAAGCAGAGGATGCTGCGCTGGTACAAGGGGACAGACTGTTCCTTCCTGCGGTTTTGGGCCATGTCTGCCCACCCCTCGGAGCAAGGCCCTGTCCGCTTCCTGGCTCACTCCCAAGGTAGATGTTGTGGACAGCTGCAGGATTCTGACAGTGCAAATTGCAGGACACCATATAAAGGAAGCTGTAGCCGCTCACTGCTGCCATCTCTGTGCAGCCGCAGCTTGGACAGGCACCTTGCTAGCCCAGGGGGCCGGATGCGGCCCTATCGCCTTCTCAATCTGGCCCATGGACAGTCCGGGAATCAGCGTGGTTTTACATGAGTAGAATCTGTCCTTTTATTTAAAATGCACCTCTGGGTTATTTGTGGGGTCTGCCTGGTGTTTTTACATGACTAGAATGTGTCCTTTTACAGTAGTACCTCGGGTTAAGTACTTAATTCCGCTAACCCAGAAATAGTGCTTCAGGTTAAGAACTTTGCTTCAGGATGAGAACAGAAATCGTGCTCCGGCGGCGCGGTGGCAGCAGGAGGCCCCATTAGCTAAAGTGGTGCTTCAGGTTAAGAACAGTTTCAGGTTAAGTACGGACCTCCGGAACGAATTAAGTACTTAACCCGAGGTACCACTGTGTGTATGTATGTGTGTGTGTATACACACACACACACACACACACACACACACCCCTGAGTTTCTAACATTGGCTTTGTAGCCCAGGGAAAAGCACCCACTGCATCCAAAAATCAGATCCCTGCTGAAACATCTGTAGAACCCCAGGTGGGTTAAGGCTGAGCCAAGGCTTCCCCGCGGACTGTCTACCTCCCAGACCCTTTCCTTAGGACTTCCTCTCTAGGCCCAGCTTCAAAGCTCCGGCCAGCATTGCCCTAGCAACGAGTTCTTTAAAAGGACAAGAAGTCCGCCGCGCACGGCCGACAGGTTCACGCAAGGATCTCCCCCTCTGTTTACCGTCACCATGACAAGGCAGGATGTCGGAATCTGGCCAGTAGCCAAAGGCAGCCAGATGGCCAAATCAGCAAGCGAAAAGGCAGTATGGGAGAGAGGAGGGGAAAAGAGAAAAATAAACCACCCCTGGCGCCAACGAGAAGCTTCTCCCAGAGAGGGACGTTTGTCCCCAGCCATTAATTCAGGTGCGCTGCTCTATTGCACGACAGAGTAGAGGAACTCAAAGCAGATACCGTATTTTTCGCTCTATAAGACGCACCAGACCACAAGACGCACCTAGTTTTTGGAGGAGGAAAACAAGAAAAAAAATATTCTGAATCTCAGAAGCCAGAACAGCAAGAGGGATCGCTGCGCAGCGAAAGCAGCAATCCCTCTTGCTGTTCTGGCTTCTGGGATAGCTGCGCAGCCTGCATTCGCTCCATAAGACGCACACACATTTCCCCTTACTTTTTAGGAGGGAAAAAGTGAGTCTTATAGAGCAAAAAATACGGTAACTCTTTTCTGAGGGCCACATTTCCTCCCAGAGGCCGCAGGGTGGCAGTGGGAGGGGCCAGGGGCAAAAGTGGGCGGAGCAAGTGATATGTACAGTAGGCTAGTTGCTACACACGTGCCATCCGTCCAAGGAAGCAAGCGGCATGACTGAAGTTCAAGGACTCATTTCCAGGCAAAACCACCCTAGGAGGGTGTGAAACAGGGCAGGGGGTGGCTCAAGCAGGGGGTCTCCCCTAGCCTGCCCTGGAGATGTCAGGGCTTGAATCTGGGACTATCAGAGGGTTGGACTAGATGACCCTTGGTGTCTCTTCCAGCTCTACAATTCTATGATCTGTGTATGGCCAATCCCACTATGGTAAAAAGGTAAAGGGACCCCCAACCATTAGGTCCAGTCGCGGATGACTCTGGGGTTGCGGTGCTCATCTCGCTTTACTGGCCGAGGGAGCCAGCGTTTGTCCACAAACAGTTTTTCCGGGTCATGTGGTCAGCAGGACTAAGCCGCTTCTGACGAAACCAGAGCAGTGAACGGAAACGCCATTTACCTTCCCGCCGGAGTGGTACCCATTTATATACTTGCACTCTGACATGCTTTCGAACTGCTAGGTAGGCAGGAGCAGGGACCGAGCAACGGGAGCTCACCCCGTTGTGGGGATTCGAACTGCTGACCTTCTGATCGGCAAGCCCTAGGCTCTGTGGTTTAGACCACAGCGCCACCCATGTCCTACGTCCTATGTACATATGTACTATGGTACATCACTTAAGAAACAAAACCCTTGTGGGTCAGCTAAGGGCACCTACCGTATTTTTTGCTCTATAAGACTCACTTTTCCCCTGCTAAAAAGTAAGGGGAAATGTGTGTGCGTCTTATGGAGTGAATGCAGGCTGCGCAGCTATCCCAGAAGCCAGAACAGCAAGAGGGATTGCCGTTGACTTCCAGCCCCAGGCCCACTGGCAGACACCTGCAAATGTGGCATGAAGGCTGGCAACGCCAACCCTACCGTGGGGGAACCCCTTGCAGACGACCACAGTGCCTGGAGGCAGGAGTCCATTTGTACGGGGTCCTCGCTGCGAGATCACATTCACCCAGTGCTATACCAGTGGAGTACAGGATCAGGTTTAAGGTGCTGGTTTTAACCTTCAAAGCCCTATACGGCCTAGGACCCTCGTACCTACGGGACCGCCTCTCCTGGTTATGTCCCACAGAGGACCTTACGGTCTTCAAACAAAAACATCCTGAAAGTCCCAGGCCACAGAGAGGGTTAGGCTGGCCTCAACCAGAGCCAGGGCTTTTTCGGCTGTGGCTCCGATCTGGTGGAACACTCTGTCCCAAGAGACTAGGGCCCTGCGGGACTTGGCATCTTTCCGCAGGGCCTGCAAGACAGAGCTGTTCCACCAGGCCTTTGGCCAGGGCGCAGCCTGACTCCCTCCTTTGGCAATCTTCACAGAACTCTAGCCCAATGGTTGCCATCAATTTGATTAAGCTAATTTTATAATGAAATGATTTTAGAATGTTTTATTGTTTTATTGTTGTTAGCAGCCCTGAGCCCAGCTTCGGCTGGAGAGGGTGGAATATAAATAAAATTTATTATTATTATTATTACATCCACAGCAGTGGCCAGTGGAGGAATGAGCGCTAGGAAGAGCAGAGAGAGAAGAAACGCCCTTGTGCATCTGCAACAGCACAACCAGACGCCTTCATCTGCCTCGGCTGCAACAAAACATGCCTATCCCGCATCAGTCTCTAAAGCCGCAGCAGGCGCCGCAACCTTCCAACAGCTTGGCGAACTCCTCCATTGTCTTCTGAGGCCGACGGATGGGAACAAATTCCAGTGCTGCCTTCAAGCTGGTCTGGGCCAAGTTTGACTGGGGTGGACGCGAGAAGGGGGAAGAGAAGGGGAACGGAAAGAACAAAAGCCTGCCCTACGCTGAGCTCACCCCGTCGCGGGGATTCGAACCGCTGACCTTCTGATCGGCAAGCCCTAGGCTCTGTGGTTTAACCCACAGCGCCACCCGCGTCCCTTCAATATCATTTTGGCACTGATAAAAATCTTGGAGGGTGTGCAGCCGCCGCCACTATTATGCATCCATTTCGCTCCTCCATGCTTCGTGCAAAACGAAGAGAAGTTAGGAGGAGTTTGCATGAAACCCGCTCCTCCCACGGGGCCCAACGCTGGTTGCTGTGTGATGGTTCGCCACACTGAGGACCATAGCTGCCAACTTACAGATTTGAAAATAAGGGGCCAGCAGCCTCAAAAATAAGGGCTCAGCAGGAAAAATAAGGGATTTTAAGA